GTGAAGGATCTATCGCCAGCCAGCCCGGCGACATCTCCTGTATAAACTCCAGTAATGGTCGCTATCCCTCGGTGCCATCCTGGAATTAAATAGGCGCAGGTTCTTCCTTCAGCCTTGGTTCTCTAGGTCATCAGTCTTAGGATCCAGGTAGTTTAGCAGTAACAGTTTCTAGGAGTTCCTCCGTGATGATCATCCTGTTTTCAGCTTCATCAAGTTGTGTAGTATTGTGGGCAACATTTTGCTTCACTTCTGTCATATTTTTCTCGTAAGCTATAAAGGACTTTTCAGCCACATGGTTATCGATCCTGTCCAGTTTGTTTCCAAATCCACCAAACCCTGAATGCAGCAACCGAAGTTCAGCTAGCACTACGCTAAGATCACAAATGCCATCAGTTCTAGCAGTCAGCTTTTTGTTTTGGTCTGTCATCGGAGTATCAGACTGAGCTGGTTTTTTCGAGAACCGCATTTTAGTGTGACAAAAACCACAGTCTGAGAATAGTCGGTTTAGACACTTTCCGAGTTATTTTACTTCTGATACTGGGCTGTTTTTTAGAAGTTTTGAGCATTTTGAGCACATCCACTTTTAGCTGCCATCTTGGTTCCCGGTTCCACAGCGTTCCCTTAAGGGTAATTTTAATGCTAAAGCCAGGCCTACACTATGCGATTTTTTTCAATCGTTGCACGCAGCTGCAGCTCACACAGTGTGAGTTCACAGCTCACAATGCATGTTCGGCCCGACGCTCTGATGCAATCTACCTGCTCACACTGTCTAAAAAACACGTCAGACTCAGCTCCGCAGTGAGATGGCACTACTCAGGCTTGTCTGTCCGGAACCCAAATGAGTAGAAGAAATATGAAGCTCAGTATAGTGAAATTTTGGCAATTTGTGCAATTTTGAGCTGAAAACCCTAAAAAGAAAAGGTGACGACATATTTGGACAACGAAATGGCTGAGCAAACGTGGCTACTACGGTCTGTCAATTTTACAGAGAGAACTCCATTTCACCCGCACCCCCACCATGCTTCTGTGTCTACATCTGAGAGTAAGAATAAATATAAGACTACTTGTTCACGCATGCCCACTGAGCGATCGGTCCGAAGAAAATCAAACATGTTCCCGACCTCACGATTCCTGATCGGGAGGTGGTCATGAGAGGCTGTTCGTCCCTCGTTACCCCCTGTAGACTACACGGCGCAAGTTAAGGCTGAAAGTCGGCCCGATTGAAGAATTATCGCATGAATGGACAATCACCCAGAAAAGGGTAAAAAAAATCGCACAGTGTAAGCCGGCTTAACATCAATTTATGGAACTGGGTCCTATGAAATACACTGGATTAGGAACATATCTTTAAAGGAGAAGTTCGGTTTTTAACACTTTTAGCCCATTTTCTGTAGTGTCCAGGATGAAATCGAATGATCGACACCAAAATTTTGACAATTGGTCCTGTCTCTGCTTTTTGGCTCATTTAGAATCAACCCCTGGCTGCTTCAGAACGGCTTCCATAGTGCATGCCCGATAATGTCCTTAAAACAACCTTAAACGTTCTTTTTTTTAAATATGCTACTCACCGGGTCGTCAGCGCTGTTCAATGACGTTCCAAAAAAAGTTTTGTAAAGAAAAAACGTTCCTGTAGTGTTTTATTTAGCATTTTGTAAATCCCATTGAGTTCTGTTGGAATAGTCAATATTCCCCTGCCACCGGAAACGGAAATGGGGCCTGTTTACACAGTTGTAGTCTTTTCGCTTCACTCTGTGTACTCCGACGTCGAGGTGCTAACGTCTCTGTTAAACACTTTAAAAAACTCTGAAAATGGAATACGAAAGGTGGATTCTTGATTCTCGACGTCGGAGTACACAGAGTGAAGCGAAAAGACTACAACTGTGTAAACAGGCCCCATTTTCGTTTCCGGTGGCAGGGGAATATTGACTATTCCAACAGAACTCAATGGGATTTACAAAATGCTAAATAAAACACTACAGGAACGTTTTTTCTTCACGAAACTTTTTTTGGAACGTCATTGAACAGCGCTGACGACCCGGTGAGTAGCATATTTTAAAAAAAGAATGTTTAAGGTTGTTTTAAGGACATTATCGGACATGCTCTATGGAAGCCATTCTAAAGCAGCCAGGGGGGGATTCTAAATGAGCCAAAAAGCAGAGACAGGACCAATTGTCAAAATTTTGGTGTCGATCATTCGATTTCATCCTGGACACTACAGAAAATGGGCTAAAAGTGTTAAAAACCGAACTTCTCCTTTAAACTTCAAACTGCACAGTTTCAGCAGTAAACTGGTTCCTAAAGCTCAATGAAGGACATTTAAGAGACCCCTCTTTGCAATAGTTCCAAAAAAGGTCCAAAAACAAATAAACTGGACTTTAGTTATTCTATCTGAAAATGTTTGACTCTGAAGGGCTTTTTCAATGAAAAACTGGTGAGTGAGGAGTTCCAAGCTAAGATATTTTGCATATGACATTATCAGATTGAAATATACGTGCAGATTAAACTCTATTAGCTAGTCTAATTTGATTATTATCTCCAATTTGGCCAAAATCTAGTTGTGAAAAATGGGATCTTTTTGATATGGGTTTCTTCTGATCTACTATCAGTTGTAAATGCCTCAAAAATTCTGGATATAAGTTTTACTTTAGCTAACCGTCAGAAAAATCTCATATATGTGGAGGGTTAACAGGTTGACTCATTAAGGGCATTTTCAGCCTTACACTGAAACATCAACTCCCAACATTTCCCACTAATGATCCTCATTATTATTATAATATTATTTATATTCTATTCTTGTTTCACTTTTGGTCCTGGTATTTGATAGGGTTAATAATCATAACCACTTATTGTCCTAGAAATAAAAACCAAACAGAGCAAGTATTTGTTTCTTTTCTGCAGAAAAGTGAGAGAGCAAGGGTGAGACCCCTTGAAAGTCTGTACTCAACTCTGCCCAAACCTCTCTTTTCTGCTGCTTTTATTGTTGGACTTCAAAGGAATTACAGGAGTGGTCAAACGTTACCAGGAGGGGTCTGATGATATCATGAGGGGTCAGAAGTTATCAGTCACCTACGGCTGCATGGCTGAATAATACCAGGCCCTGAGAGAAATATTTGCTCTCCTCATGTAGAACAGTACTTTACATTCTTTGGCCAAATGCCCGTAACTTGAAATAAAATGATAAGATATACATTTTTCTAACAATATTTCTTAATAATACTTCTTGCCATTACTGTGCAGAGATTTCAAGTAACAAATTAAAAATACTTTGTTAGCTTACTCAAGTACAAATTTCTGCTATCTATACTTTACTGGAGTCATTATTGTTTAGACAATTCATTTCTTTGTGGTTGGACTTGCTGCTGTACACACTTGTTCCAAACATACCAAAGATACAAGATATATTCAAGATGATGCAAAATGACCTTTCGCGTTATTGCCATTAGTTATTTCAAAGAAATTAGTTATTAGTTATTTCAAAGAAAATTAAGTATAAGGAAATTATCATCCAGAATTGTAGAAAACTGTTCCTTTAACAGCCAAGCAGGGTTCCTACAGCATAAGGCAAGTTAATTTCTATACTTTTTAAGACTTTTTAATGCCACTTGAAATAAAAATTTAAGACCAAATTCACAAGAAAAACCTGTTTGCGACAACTTAACCCAAAGGTTTACTTTAACATAAACCACTGCACCAATGTTTCAAATTTTGAAAAACTTCCCATACAGGAAGAAAGCTAAAAACACACAAATGACAGATATATTTGAACAATTATTTAACTGAATTCACAAACTTTCTTTTAGCAGGGAACAAAACAAATCAGTTTTAAAGCCACAACATAACCAGTGCTAAGTCTTTTTTGCAGCTATTTTTCTTTGTATGGTTTTCTTAGTATGTTTGATTTGGTGATAAGTGGAGGTGTTGCAGAGACAAGGGTGGAACTAAACTGAGAAATACCGCTTTGTGTTTCGTGCTTCGCATGTGCGACTCCACTGCTTTAATTCCCATTGTTCTGAGCTTAAATGACTTCTTGCACTAATTCCACTGAGCCTCATGTATGTTTCCTGGTTTTAGCCATGGAGAAAACTCTTGGCTGGAGACAATTTTTGTTACATTTACACTTGCTCATATTTTCCAGACAAAAAGTTAATGGCGCATCTCCCAAATGTCCCGGCCGCAACAACGCTTTTATTGGTTCCGCTATCGGGACGGAACCAATAATGGCGAGCCACTTATTTAATTTTTTTTTATAAAAAGAAAAAAAAAAATTGTCAATTTTAATGTTTTATTTAGATTACAAAAATATATCCTAATAAAAATAATCCTATTTATGATGTTTTAAAAATTAAGACCTACGAAAGACTGATTTAAGACATTTTAATACAAATTAAGGCCTTAGTTTTATTTTGAAGAATTCAATGCCTTTTAAGAATTCTTAAGGAGCCGCGGGAACCCTGGCCTAGTGCAGTAAAGCATCTGTCCATAACCTTTTTTCCTGCATTACTTTTATTTCTATTCCTTAAGTATTTTTTAAAAAAATGGTTCTCTTACTTGAGTAAAAAGCTGAAGTTGACTAACTTCAACAAAAGTTATTTAAACGGTAGGACTTCTACTTCTAGTTGAGTAGTATATAAAAACATTAATACTTATGACACCTCTGTTACTGTGGATATAAAATTGTCTATATAGATGAATGATGGAATTTGAAAATGACTGACCTTCCTCCACTATAAATATTTTTTCTGCTAACTCAATTATGCAGCAAATAATATATCACTTGGTGATAGCTCCTCTTTGAAAAATAAATCCTCACTTCCTACTCATCTGTGTTTCAGGAAATACAAAAACATTACATTTAATAGAAAACCAAATAGATTCTCTGATGTGTACTTTAATGACCTTTCTGGAGCAGCATTCTTTTAAAATGTTGTCTAAATAAAGAGGCTTAGTTACACTTATTACTAACCCAGATCACATTCAACCACAAGTCTTTCAAACAAAAGTTCATGCAGTCTTTTCTGTTTATTTAATTAATAAAACGTCTTTCTAGAGCATATCTCTGTTTTCTCTAACAACGGCACCATAGACTGATTTATATGTCTTCAAAACATCAAAAGCAGAAGGTCGTAACCTAGGCAATACATTTTTGCATTCCTTATGGATCTGAAAAAGATGAAAATGTACTAGATCTCCTCCTGGAGTCCTTCCCATTATGAACTGTGTCACATCTGGAATCTTCCAGATATCTGTCTTTTCATCATATGGTGGCATTAGATCATCTGAGAATGGCTGCTCATCGTCTATGAAAGGCCAAAGCTGCTCTGGGGCTACAAAGTGTCCAGTGAGCTCTCGGCTGCCGCATTTCACTAACATGCCCCCAGATGGATTTACTTCAGGCAGCGCATCTAGGTCATTTATCACCACATGGAAGTCATTCGTCAGCAGGAACTGGGAAAGGGTTTTCTCCAAGCTGTTCGAGTCACACATCACCCTTCTTCCAGCAGGGCTGTTATGCAGGTAGTGGAGAATGGAGACGTAGTCTGTGGCCAGTCTTAGCCGTATGTGCCAAGTGTTTAGATGCTGGTACTTTGGCTGCGCCAGAACATTTTCGAGATTCAACAATGACCCATGTGGGTGGTGCTGAGTAATGATTGAGTTGTTTTCCAGACAGAACCCAACCAGCTGCACCACAAGTGAGTCTTGAAGGGCCTGTAACATTGAAAGTCCATGAAGAAAGTCTTCTCTGTATTCTAGAGAGGCTAGCTCAGATAAAGCAACCTTATGACCTTTCCAATCTGCCAGGTAAACCTAAGAAAAGATAAACATCAACACATTACGTTCATACTTAATAAAGAATAATAAACAGTCAAAGTTTCTACAATTTTTATCTAAACACATTTGTGCAGGTAAACTATGATTTTTTCTTAAGAAGAAACTAGAAAGAAAATAAAGTATTAATCCCAAAGGGAAATTAAATGTTGTAGTAACTCATGGGCAGTTTTTCAACAAGTTGCTATGGGTGTTGATAGCTGTAAGCAGGAAGGATCTTCTACAGCGAACTATCTTGGATCTGGAAAAGCCTAAAATGCTCAGTCCGTATTAAGTCCCTTTCTGCTTTGCAAAGTTGAATCTAAATTAATAAAAATAATAATAATACTACATGTGAAACAATACATTTTGATGTGAAAGGAAAGATGCTGCCTTAATTTACAGCAGCCAGACACAAGTTAATACCTATATCTAATATGAAGCATTAAAGTGGAGAAATTTTCAATGCTTAGATTCAACCTAAAGGATTCGTCTTTAAGTTTAAAATCACACAACCTTATTAACCTATTTAGCAAAACTTTACCTCAAATTAGTGTGACTGATTCCAACTTGTATTTGGACCAGTGTTTTTAGACCTCCACCTTAGCAGGCCAAATATCAGCAAAGGTCTATAGCAACCCTTTCCCACTGGCTGAAAAACCTGTTTAAACTCGGGAACAATCGGCTTTTAGTGGCAGTGGGAACAGCTCATTGAGCGTATCTACTCGGTAGGGGTGTAAATAATAATCGTTTTGTATCGATGCATCGATCCAACAGCCGACGATCCGATGCATTGATACGTCCGCAAGAGAATCGATTCATGTTTTTTTTTTCCTCCTGTCTATTTTTATCCATTTGCTCCTGGGCGTAATTCTCCCTCCCGTGCTGCGGTGGCGCTAAACCTATTTTGCCCTCCTACCTCGCTTCCTGGTTATACTCTTACAGCAGTGTGTTGCAGTGAGCTTGACACAGACAGTTTAAAATTATTCTCAGTATTGAAGCGTGGTCTGAGCTACACGCTGTGGGTCTAGATACGGCCGAGGCGGCGAGGAAGTGGAGGCAAGTTTAGTCCGACGACGGAGGGACATGAGGGCCAAAAAGGGCGGAGATCCAGGCGGAAAAAGGGTCCCAGCGTTCTCGCGCTCCTCGCTCTTCTAGTGGGTCAAACTTCACGAGTTGTTTTCCGCAATTTCGGTCATAAAAACAAAACAAGCCGGCCTCCTGTCTGCGGTCAGCTACAATTTGGGAGAAGAGCAGCGGAGCGTCTGTGGAGGGGGCGGGGACGTCTGGAGCCGGGGTATTGAATTGCACTCATTGCACTGATTTTTGCAGTATTTTTTTATGCAACTTTTCTACTTCTGTTATTTGCTGTTGTTTCTAAAATAAAAAATGCATAACGATATTACAGCTTTCATTGATTTATTTCAAACTTGAAACTTTGTTTAGCCTGTAAGGTATAAAAAAACAATAAAAAAAAATAATTTACCGATTAATCGAATTGAATCGTGGTGTATTCTTGAGTATCGAAAATAATCAAATCTTTCGGTCAGGAAATCGATACTGAATCAAATCCCCATGATGGATGTGATTTACACCCCTACTACTCGGGTCAAATGACTCGGCAAGCGACCCATGTTAAAATCACCTCAGCTCTGAGTGGCATGCTGTGGGAAAATAAAACTTGGGTCGACCAGCTAAAATACATGATTCCGTTGAACACAACATATGGAGGTAAACACACTGCGCCAGTCGCTTCTAATCTAACAACCTGAAACAACTCTGTTTACGTTTAATAAAGATGGAGCAGCGCTGGAGAGAAGGATTCAGACAGATAATAGAGCGAAACAACGAAGCACACTGACTACGCCCTGGCTTCCTTACCTGTTGTGCTCCATTGTTTACTTTCCTGATTTCTGTCGCACTGGTGACATCATCAATGCTAACGCAGCAGGATGATGTCACCAAATACGCAGCTGCCAGCGAGGGGTTAGGCCAGCTTTTTTGCCAGTGGGATGGGGGCCAAATGCAGATTGTTAGCGGGTCAACCGATGTTTGAAAAACAGGCCTTAACCAGCTATTTTCAATGGAGAAGAGGATTATGTGGCAAACGCATTTTTTTAACATAACAGACATCTAAAAAAAAAAGTCCAGCTCAGAACTAGTTTGCCAGAGTCAACTTCTGTCTTTCTGATACAGTTTCAGCCTAAATATAAACAGGTTCCACCATAAAGTGAATGTGTCCCTGAGTTGGTCACCTTGGTGATTAAAAAACATTAACATTACTACAACGTTCTGGTCCAAAAGAGAGAAAAACAGAATAGGAAACTAGCATATTGACAATTAAAAAAAAGTAGAATGACGGAGTATGAATCAACCGAATCTATACAGCTATGAAATGGCAATAAACCGCCCCTTGTATGTGCTTGTGTAGCATCAATTCACGTATTATTGAAAACATTATTAAGGACGCATAAATTATCTGTCAACACATCTATAAACAATAAAGAGAGACAGAATTTAAAAGTATACACACCTTCTTTACAGCTCCCTGGCCAATCAGCTTCACCTTGTGCACTTCTGATTTGATCTGTGAACACTGGAGCCATTTGCTACAGTTTTCCATTGATGGCAGTTTAAAGTGTTGAGAGAGACAGCCAGCATGGGTACTCACTAGCTTCTCATCTGACTGATACACACCTTCCAGATACAAGTATATCAAGGCGCTGCTAAGCATCAACGCAGCAAGACATCCCATTACAACAGGAAAGACAAAGGAGTTAAAACTGCTGCTGTGGCGACCCATGATACTCTGTAGGCAAAAGGAAATGCAAAAACATTACAAAAAGTCAAAATACATTCCAATAAATCTTACTGCATGTTGATTTTTTGCAAAAGGAAACCTTTATTTAAATAAGAGGTTTGTAATGAGTATATCAATCTTAGTTTTTGATAAAAAAAAATTTGTTTGCATAAACTAAAAGAAAAAATACATTAAAGTAATACAAAGGATATATATATTCAAATATGTCCTAATTATTTCCATTTTCGTTGTTATCCCTCAAATGTGGGGTTTTTCCTAAGCAGTAATATATAATAAAAGAAACAGAAACACTTGAAATACTTTACTGAATGATTCAATCAACCAAATTTCTATAAGTGAAATAAAATAACTCCATAAATAAAGTTAATACTCTTATATACTTAAATGTTTACGAGAATAAACACTAAAATTTACGAATTTAATATATAGAAATGTAAGAGAAAATGTAGCAAATTAATAAGAAAAAATACAAGCACATTTAGGAGAAATAATTGAAATTTTGCAAGGTTTAAACATGTAGCTGCATTGGCACAAATATATCTTTAACAGGGAGTTTAGCGATGGAATTATCTCCTCGTTTTAGGGGTGCATCTTTATAATCTCATAAATGTGCGTGTTTTTCTTGTAAATGTGTGTATTTATGCTCGTGCTTTGCTACTTGTTTCCTTCTACATTTAAAGAGTAAAAAGAATCTGAATTTTTTTTCAAGGGTGCACTTTTAAAAAGATGAAATTGTCCAGTGAGCTGTTTCCAAACGAAATTTATTTTTGTTTTACACTTCAGTAAACAAAATGACAAATAAAACCTGTCTAAAGTCTCTAAATGTGTTTGCTTTTACTAGTTATTTGGGTGTTTATTCTTGTAAATATGCCACTTTAAACTCAACATTTTAATTCCAATTTTTTTCCCGTCTATGAATGCCCCTAATACGCCGTCGTTCTTTTTTATATGGATGGTCAAAAAAAAAAAATGTAATGGATTAAAAATGCTATCAGCAGTGAAAGAAATGTAACGTTGCCTGACATCATCAGCTGATAGTAACAGCGAAACTCTAAAACAGCGAAAACATGTTAGATTATTTTCTAACCAGCAGGTTAAAAGCGACATTCGTTCGGCATCTTCCAAAACCAGCTTCACTCACTGATTCTCAGAAGCTGATCCTGAACGTATTGAAGAACATAAAGTGACAGTTAAGCTTCTACATTTCACTTCATTTCCCCCTCCATCCCCTTCTTCTTCTTGCTCGAGGTTTAAACCAACCTACAACTACGGAACTGCATTACTGCCACCTGCTGGAGGAATCTATATAAACTTAATTACATCTTGATTTTATTTTGTTTCAACACTCCACTGTAGAGCTGTCAAACGTATTCATGTTTATTACTCAGTTAGAAGTATAGCTGTTTGTAGAAGTTAAGAGGATCAACTTAAGCTTTTTAAAAAAGTAAAAGTGTAAAAGTACAAATTTTAAAACTACTTACAGTATAAAAGTAAAAGTAATGAAGCAAAGAATTTTAAGGGCAGATGCTTTACTGCACTACTCTATTAAAGGACAATTTTTCTACAATTCTGCATTATAACTTCCCTATACTTATGGTACTTAGTTTTATAACTAATGGTAACAGTGTCAGATTTAACTGTGCATCATCTTGAAAACTAGTTATTTTGGTTTGTAGCGAAAAACAAGTTAATGGAGCACAGAGTCCAACCACAAATATATTAATTGTCTGGATGACACAAATTATTTTGACGGATTGTATTTTTTTTAATACCAACAGGCTATAACAAAAATGTGCTCAAATGAAAAAAAAAAATAATAACGAGTCTATTTTTAAAATGTAAAGAGTAAAAAGTAGAGATAATTGCAAAACATGTAAGGAGTAGAAGTAAAAAGTTGTCTAAAAAATATAAAAAGTATAGATTTCCAAAATTTCTACTTAAGTAACATAACGAGGTATTTGCACTTTGTTACTGGAAAACTCTACTCCTCGGTCAATGTACATTCTTCTCTGATGTGCTGCCTCATTATTTAGGTGGTAAACCCCTGCCTTATAGAAATGTGCACTGTTCTGGACTGACTCATTGTATATAATTAGATGTATTTATTTTGAAAAAGGAGTTAAGTTTAGATTAATGGTAAAACATTTTGTAAAGTGCTTTGCAACACAAATGTTTTACATTCTTTGTTGCACTATAGTTGCAAACTTTAACGTATTTTATAGTAATTGTATATGATAGAGCAAAACATGGCATTTCCTTTTTTCATTTCTTACCAATACACATTTGTATGCTGTCAGTGTTATTTTCCATATGAAATCAATCATTTGGAAAACAGAGTCTGTTTGCAATTCAACTGATGTCTGGCTGTTAAGTTAAAACATCAAAAGACAAAGACCACTGCCAGGCATAACATTAGTTAAATGAGTTGCATTATAGAGATACATTACCGAATGCACATCAAAGGTGATTGTTGAATTGAGCATCTGAAAATAGAAAGTGAAACTGCATAGAAAAGCTAGAGTGGTTTAACCAGCATAAGCTTTGGGGCCCGTTAGATAGCTGCAGTGGTGGAAAGTAGCAAAGTACAGTTACTTTATCAGTGTACTTTAGTACTTTTTACTGGAGTAATTTTTGAGGGGCTACTTATAACTTTCACTCCACTTCATTCCCAAGGCAAATATTGTGCTTTCTATGCCACTGCATTTCTAGGAAGCTGCCAGTTACTTGCTCCCTTTGGCTAAGCTTAGGAAATTCTAGAAACCTCGTTGATGTGGGTTTTAAATAACAGGTCCTGATCAAAATTAAAACCAAGATTTTATACATTATTATCTTATATCAATTTAATTCCATCCAAATGAAAGAACTTACTAATCAGCTTCTTTTTCAAAGACTCTGGTCCAAGGACTATAATGTCTGTTTTGTCTGCATTCAGGAGTAGAAAGTTTAGAGTCTTCCAGGTTTTTATGTCTTACAGATGTTGGTTAGTTTCATCAAAATGTATAGACAGACATATACTATGAACAAACAGAAATCTGTCAGAAAAATAAGATTCAAACAAGCATTACTGTACATTACTGTTCCCTAACTCCTACAAAATATTCACGTCTTTCTAAAAGAATATCATGGTCAGCTGTACCAAACGCAGCACTGCGATCCAACAGGACAAGTACATATAAAAGTCCATTATCTGAGGCCATCACAATATCATTAGTGACTTTCACCAGAGCTATTTCAGTGCTATGATGAGCTCTAAAGCCAGACTGAAACTCTTCAAAAGGTTTGTTATAGTGTAAGTGATCGCACACTTGTTTGGCAACTATTTTCTCAACAATTTTAGATAAGAAAGGAAATTTGATATAGGTCCATAATTGACCGAGTCATCTGGGCCAAGAGACAGTTTCTTAACTAAAGGTTTAATTACAGCAACCTTAAAAGCCTTTGGTAAATATCCCTGTAACAGGAATAGATTAATGACATCTAAAATGGAGGAGGAGATCAGAGGGAATACAGTCTAAACCCAGTTCAGATTCTATAGTTACCTTAGATACTGCTTCCAGAGATAAACCAGTCATATATGTAGGGGTGTCAATGATATTATTTACTATAGAATCAATGTTATCTATAAAGCATCCCATAAAATCATTACTGCTAAGAGCAGGTGGGACAGACGGTTCAACAGAGCTATGGCTCTAGGTGAGGTTAGCAACTGTATTGAAAAGATATCTAGAATTATTCTTATTCTCCTCTATTGAGGAGAAATATGCTGCTCTTGTTTTACAAAGGGTAATCTTATACGGCAGTAAACTATTTTTCCAGACTAGGTAGGATTCCCATAGGCTAGGCATGTAGTGTGCACTTTTCTCTCCAGTTTCCTAGCATTTTGGTTTAAAGTGCACAGCTCTACATTAAACCAGGAAGCCAGCTTTCTATTTTTAAAGTTTTTCCTTTTCAAACTGGCTACGTTGTCTACGCAGAACGCAGGGAAATAGCAACCCCATCAACAAAATCATCAGTTTGTAAGTGGGAATAAATTAAATGCTTGCTCTGTGGAGAATTGTTCAGTGATGCAGAGAAGATAAAAAGCGGAACAGATTATTTAAAATGTATAACCACATCTGATAATGATCTACTAAACTGAACTTTGGGGGAGGAGAACTCTGTTAAAGTAATTTTGAAGGTTATTCAAAATTGGTCAGAGAGGACAGGGTTGTGAGGAAATACTGTTATTTCTTCACATTCAATGCCATCTGACCACACAAGGCCCAAATATGCAGATGAAAATGTGGAACTATTCACATTTTCAACAAAGCCATTTGACTCTTCTTGCCACAGCTCACACTGATGTGCCATCCTGGATGAGCTGAACTACCTGAACAACTTATGTGGGTTGTAGAGTCTGTCTCATGCCACCACCAACTTTCAAAACTGGCCAAAACATCAGCCCATAAGCATAGGTACTGAGATGTGGTATATGGTCCCCACCTGCAGAACTCCTTTATTCATTGTGTCTTGCTAATTGCCAATAATTTCCAACTGTTGTCTATTTCACTTGCACAACAGCATTGTATAATAGTTGATTATTCCTAAATGTTAAAGTGGTAGGGAAACGGCTGTTCCAACCGTTGCAGTTCTGAATTCTCCCGAGTGGTGCCCGACTTTACATGAGTGAATAAAGTGAATGTGACCGGTTGTTTATCAAGAGTGCGGAATTGTTGTGTCGGAAGATTCACAAGCACGTTTGGTTGTGGCCGGTGTCTCAGAAGCACCTTGCTAACCAGTTAGCAACTTAGTGCTAGTAGGTTCACAATGGGAAATTACATTGGGACCAAGTAGCACAAAACAACACTGCCAAGAAACGCTATGGACAGCAGAAACATGCAAGAGGAGGAGAGTTTTGTGTCGGAGGTTGTGGATGAGTCGCCTCTATCCTACGTTCTTTTATTTAGAGGAGGAAAGAAGGGTCAAAGATGTTGTGGAAGAGGACACCAGGGCGGCAGAAGCTTGGTTTGGTGTAGAAGGCTTCCAGCCGTACATGTTTGAACCCTTGCCTCGCAACGCTGCCAGTTCTGTTAGCTCTACGCCTGCCGAAGACACAGACGTCCATCCCCCTGTACACTGGGACGGAACTCAATGGTAAAGTAAATTATTCTTATTTCAACTGTTGCTTATATTACCTGCGACATATGAATGAAGATGCTATGACCGAAAAAAGTTGGTTGACAGATGACCGTTGATATATGTTTGGCCAAATCTATGTGTACAAGCTGACGTATAACTAACTGGTTTGTATAAAATAATGAATAAAACCCCACAAATTTTTTTTTTTTTAAATAGAAATGTTTATTTTTTTTTAATAGAAATGTTCAAACTTTTGGGACAATATAGTCTGACAAAGAGTACATTTATATACATGTTTAGGCCAGAATGATTTGACATTTAAATATGAATTCCCTACGACTTTAATGTGTTCCCTGTGTATACTATATATGATATGTATAAATGAGCGATTTTAGAACTGTTTATGGGAGCTAATAAGATGTTAATAATAACAGATTCTTATTTTAATCGTCAAACTAATAAATGTCAGTACCGCCTGCCATAGTTCCGGGGGCGGCGTCAAATCATACGTCTACATGTCTTCAGCGTCTAGGTATGCTCTCTGCCTCGCCTCTCTCTGTTATGGTCAATTATGGCCTATTTGGTGCTTTTACTCTGAAAAAGGAAGTGTAGACGTCATTGCTTATTTATATTAACAGACGAAAAAAGAAGAAAAAAAAAAACAATCGTCATCTGGACAGGCGTGCAGCTACCGCCAGCAGGTATTTTGTTTTGTTTTATTAAGTGTGTTAATCCTATTGTCGAGTGGTCTCTTCCCGTTTGGTTCAGTTTAAATGGAAGTCGGTTAAAAAGAAAGGAATTCGAGAAAGCTAACATTAGCATGCGGAGCTTATTAGCCATTTATAAGAGGCTAACACCCGTAGAGCATTTTTAAAGCTGAGGTTTAGCTTTTTTTAACCACGGTCAGCTACATTTTAGCCCCTTTTTAACAGGCGTAACACGCCAGTAGCTTTATAATGTTTGATATTCTTATCCTTTTAGATTTGCTGTATGTTACTGATGTTTATTGCAAAAATGATGCCCAATAAAATCGCCAGAAACATTAACTTCGTATTTTTGAGCATTAGAACTCGTGTAATGTTCACAATTTCTGATTCATTTGCAACTGGCTGTCAGAAAGCATCAGAGAAAATAAGTTGCAGGTAGCAG